GTTTGTCCGCTTAACATATATATATATATATATATTGTAAAATTAATTGTAATTTTGATTTAAGTAATGTTTTTTCATGTCTTTTTTTGGATCAATTTCTTAAAATTCATACCACATAAAAAATTCCCTGACAAACATCATGTTATCTTCAACGGTTCCTACCAACTAGCGATCAGCCTACTGAATAAAAAGATCCTCTACATTCGCTTAACTAGATGTATAATAAGATGCAATTAGTGTCAGGGCCTAGGTCATCATGCAAATAAATGCACAGCAGAATTTGCCACACGTGCTAGTTGTGCAGGAGATCCATGGTTGCAAAGATAAATCACCTTCTTGCATCAATTGTTGACACTCAAACACCTACTATGAAACTAACATCAACCCAGAACATCCCGCATCCGATTCGCAATGTCCAACATATCTTCAAAGACTTCATTCTCTAAGAAATGAAAACAAAAAACTCTAGTTCACAAACATTTCTACAAAATTAAGTACCAATATCCTCTTTATATTGCAGTGTTTGATTTCCACACTGAATTTCTTTCCATATAAAACCAATCCATTTTACACTGGGACATTATAAAATTTTTCAAGAACTAGAAGTTATAAACATTATCAAAGTTTACATACGTTATCAGCAATAACGTCAATACTGCTGCTGACTTACAGTGACTCAGTCATTTTTCTCCTAAAATGATAATTGTTATTTGCATTATTTACATGATACATTTCCTTTTTCTTTTTATTTCTCTTTTTCAATTATTTTATGTTCAAAACAAAATTTGTTGTTCGTTTTACTCTATGTTTACAAACAAATGTGATGTACCCCTCTGTAATCTGCAAGATTTTTCATTGTTGTATCCCAAATTTTATTGTAAAAATTATCAAAAGCACGCTACTATGTACTAAGTATTATGCAATTTTTTATGGGGTTGTGGCGAGCTGGACTGGTAGCCAGACGTGAACAATAGAAGTAAGGGTTTTGCAAACATAGGTACGTTGTCCACGCCTGGAGGAAAGGAAAAGCATAGCACTCTAAGAAATGTTCAAACAAAATCATCAATAGTCAGTATTTAAATGTAGGACAGAGTAAATATAATATAAATACTCGTATATTTTAATTTGAAATTATCCCACTGCTCTACTTTAAAACTCTGATAGACAATACCAAGATGTATTAAATGGGTCTTATCGTAAATACTATCCTACCACTTTTCCCAAAATGTGCTTCTGGCATCACTACTAAAATCGCGCCGTTCCAAATCAATTTTCCACCCTAGAGTTTAAAGAACTAATCGCTCGTATGATTTGAGCGATTTCTTATAATATTTGAAGGTTCATGATAAGCAACTTGACAATTAAGCAACTTGAAAACATTATACCATTTAAATTAAATAATTTTAGTGGTAGCCAAATTAGTTTCAAATCTATTTTATTTAATTGTTATTGAAAATCCACACAACTGAAACCACGCATATTTTAACCCTCAACTCGTTAACTATATTTTGTTTGAGACTATGACTGATTGAAGTGAGTTCAGCTGAAATGATGTGGCACAACAAAAGGTGTTTTCGTTCAAACGGTCTCAACAAATACGAATTTGAATTATTTTAATTGAATGAGTGTAATATAAATACTCGTATATTTTAATTTGAAATTATCTTACAGCTCTACTTTAAAACTCAGATAGACAATAACAAAAAATATTAAATGGATCTTATCGTAAAAACTGCCGTACCACTTTTTCTGAAATGTGCTTCTGGCATCACTAGTAAAATCCTGCAGTTTAACCCATTTTGTCCCGAATTTATTTATTGAAATGATACAAAAAGTGGTTTTATGAAAAAAGTGGTATAATATATTATCGAAATTAATTGGTTTTTCTACTGTTAGGGCATTCGAAAAGTCATTAATAGATCATAAAGTACTTGCTCCTTATAATTCCAGATCTAATCAAAAATAACTAAATCATCATGGTATCTGAGAATCTTTTAATTCACCCAGATAAATGAAAATACTGAAAAAACTTTCCCAATACAATGAATGTCTTTGAAAAAAGGAACTGTCCTATATATATGACGCTGGGCGTTAACCGGTTAAACTTAGTTTTCCACCCTAGAGAACCCTTTGGGGACGGGTGATTCAGAAAAGCATGTAATTAAATAAAAAACGGTAACTTAAATGTAGTCGTTTCTAATTTGACAGACTTACTTTGTTTATACTTTAATTAGTGTTAGTTTAATCATATATATAATCAATGTTAATTCAAAGTATAACTAAACAGTTTTATTTTGAACAAAGTAATGGTGAATTAAATAAATCAAACAATAATAACTCCGCCCACAAATAAACTGCTAAATTACTTTGATTACCAGTTTTATCTTTTTACCCTGATTGATGCGATTTTATGCTGGCGCGAAGGGTTAAGGAACTAATCGCTCGGATGATTTGTGCGATTTCATATAATATTTGAAATGAACTAAATGAAAATCCGACAAAATTTGGCAACTTGAAAAATTACTTTCATTTAAAATAAATAATAATAATGGTATACAATATTTTAAAAATCTATTTCAATTAATTGTTATTGATATATTGTTATTGAAAAACCACACAACTGCGAGGCATTTTGACCCTCAACTCGTTAACTATATTTTGTTTGAGACTATGACTGATTGAAGGGAGTTGAGTTGAAATGATGTGGAACAACAAAGGGTCTTTTCTCTCAAACGATCTCAACAATTTGAATTATTTTAATTTAATTGTCTCCAATACAAGAACAAGTGATTCAGCAAAAATCTTCAATCTGCTTCTTATTCAATCTTGAAAATTCAGTGAACTGGAGTGTCTGGATAGGAACTTGCATTGGGGTCTTTAACATTTATTACTTGTAATAATTTGTTCAGGCATTTTATCTCGTCCAAGCCGTTGTAATATAGAAGTTCCAATTATTAATTTTGATTTGCAAAATAATGTGATGTTAATTTAATATCTCTTAGAATGCATTTCTTTTCTTTCTGATTATGTAGATTAAAAAATATTTTCCGACCATTGCATCATTTGACAAGTGAATCTTGTCATGCATTTATTTGCAATAAATATAAAAGTGTGCTGCGATCTGACTGTTTCAACGATAGAGAATGCATTAATAATTATTACATCATAATTACACATCACATCATATGAAGCACTAATTATTACATCATATGAATGTTAAAGTAGGGAGGAATCAAATTTGATTTGGCAACTAATTGACTAAAAAAACCTAATCATATTTAATCAAACCTTTACTACCAGTTTTAAATTTGATTGTTTCTAATTACTATTTAATCTATTGATATATCTCTCAAGACGGTACATCCACAAGAAAACATCAATGTGAAAATAAAATTTCTAATATGGACGTGAGACCATGTAAAACTACGTAGGATGGCGCTAGGGGTTATAATTTGTCGTAAGACTTCCGGATTGCTATTTCTGCCTGATTTTCACGTCTAAGCTCGGAAAATCCAGCTTCCAATATTAATAGTCCCGCAGTGGACTGATCGTTAAGACATGGTTCCCAGCAGATCACCGAAGTCAAGCATCACTGGCTGCGGTCAGTGTGCGGGTGGGTGTCCACTTTGATCAGTCTGCGTAGGGACCGAGGGTGTGCGGTATTGGTCCCCGTTAAACTGTTCTACCGTAAAGTGCTCGACTTCGCGTGCAGGTCGTCGGGCTATAGAAGCAGGGGTGCCATCCCCTCTGCAGAGGACCAAATTGTGATGGCATGTCTTCGGATCATCCTCAGGGATGTTTTCCAGACCATCGCCAATAGCCCATTGTGCAGCTCTAGTGCGACGTAAATGAACAACAACAACAATATTAATATACTCGCAGTGTTTTAAAAATAACGCGTTCTTTCAATCTAACTTTCAACGAAACAAACAACAAATGAATTTGAAACACTCAGCAAGCTTGCTACCCAAAAAATAACAAACGGTGTTATTTTGCACATACATAGCCAAATAAGAGATAACACAGCTAACCTTACAATTTTTCTATGCTGTGAACTTAATTTTGTTAAATTTGTTTTAGGCTCAAGACCTGTAAGAATTTATAAATTACAGTAAACTCCAACGAATGGCAAAATTACGCGTTAATTTAAACACAAATCAGAATAATAAAAGTTCCTACATGTGTTAAGTCTGTTCACACATGGCCTCGTAAGCATAACATAAGCGGAGGGATACACCGGAAATTTTCTAAATTACTTCCGGTTTTAGAAAGGTTGTTATTGTTTGAATTCAGTCAACCATATTATATTTCATACCTGATATTTCATTTTATTACTTTTGCTTTCAAAAATCATTGTGTGATAGTCATTGAGCCATGGTCCATAGCCTAACCTTTTCATAATTAATAATTGGAACATGTCACATATTGATCTTAATTTGTGATGACCAAAATTAAAGAAAAAAAATGAAAGGATACTACGATTGCAAATAAAAAATAAGCTGATACGATTGCAGCACCCATCAAATGAAGCGGAGTTTATATTAAGTATAAGTCGAAGGCAGCGCCCGCATTGAACCTAGTGCTAGTGGCGCAATTTATCTTTGCACCTAGGCAGCGAAGCCTCCAGACGGCTTTTTATCGGTAGTCCGATCAGATAGTTATGAGGATAAACCAGTTTACGTAAGAGCCCTTTAATTGAAAATCTAGGCCGGGATAGCCTGGTTGGTAGGGCGCTGGGCCCATGTCCGAGAGCTCGTGGGTTCGAACCCCGCCGGCCGAAGACTCCCCGTGTAGTGAAGTGACAGATGCACGTTAAATCTGTCGAGTCGCAAAAGTCCTCCATGTTTCCATAACAAATCAATATCTCTGGGGGTACTGGATTGGAGATCGATCGTTCTCTGATTCAGGTCAAAATTACGATCTGTGGATGAATGAATGGATGTATGAATGGGTCCGGCCTATAAACGGGTGCGACGTATGGTGTGGCAGAAGTCGAATTCTTGTCCATAGATTGCGCCACTGGAAAACAAGAACAATCGCACCCCCTCTGTCTAAACAGGCATAAGTCAACAACAATTGAAAATCTAGCAAGAATAAGAAGATGGTAGCAAATATATGTCTGTGGTGTAACTACCACTACGATTATTAAACATCAATTAACTATTATATTAAACATGATAACTTTAATTAATTTTAGGTTACATTCTAATAGATATGGGTTAGCATTGGTTAACTTGTTCGTTACTACAGATTCAATTTTCAAACGAATTTGAAATATTTCTCTCAGGCGCATTTAATATAGAATTTGGGTTCATGAGCACAACCGATTAACTTTTTAAATAGTCTATGCAGACTGCTTATGAAAAATCGAGAGGAATCTTCGAGGGGAAAGCGCCATCTATCGAATTCATCGTGAATTTAAGTTCAGTTTGTGTTGAGTCCTTATGATCAGCAGGCAGTGAGGTTGCTATATATTTACTGCAAGCACTTAGCGTGAGTAACTAAGAATAAATAATAAAAGCAGCTTGCTTTAAACTAGATTTGCTCAAAAATTTTAGTTGTAGATGAGTAAAAAATATGTCATCGAGAGGATATTGCTATTTATTTAGGTTTTACTGTATTCTCCAGCTATTTAGTAGCCAGCAAATACTTCAATACAGATAGCAAAACCATGGAACTCATTCAACATCGAACCGGAACATTGGTACCAAATATAAATGTTTATGCCGATAATTTTTGGTGGTAGATAAAAATATTTTGCTTCTGCAAAATAGATCGTAATTATGAAACACTTGTGTTACCACTTTTCTCGTTTTTGAAAAAGAGAACTGCCGTTTTAAAAAGAACGCTAGAAACAAACGAGATTATAAAAGGTTAAAATTTTCAAAACAAAACTCAGTGCTTGCAGATGTGCCAGTTCGTTGCAGTTTGGGAAAAATTTTTTCTAATGCCAGCAAATGTTATTTTTGATATTTGGTGATTTAAACTTTGAATTGTAAATTTTAAACTTAAGTAGTATAAAGTACCTCAGAAATTTGTCTAAATATTGACGACTGCAGGAAGACCATGTTGTTTTTCCAGCTCCCAAGGTAGGTGACATAACATAAGTGTCTGAATCACAGTGGTTTCCATCTTGATGGCCATCATGCTCCATCCCCAAGCTTATTGAACAGAGTACATTGAGAAAATTAATAAAGTACATTGAGAAAATTAATAAAGTACATTGAGAAAATTAATAAAATACATAAAATAAATATTTAATTTAATGAATAAGCAACAAAAAACTCAGAAAATCAATAATCTTCTGTGACAACTTTAGTATTTTCAGCAATTATTTCAGCACTATTAACCTTTTCTGGACGGGTGAGTCATAAATGTGTTCTTACGGAATCAGAATCAGGAAGGAAAAAAAATAAAAGCGGAAGTTTAAGTTTAGACTAGGCTTATTTTTTATAATTTAAAAGTCTTATTTTTTGTTCTCACCTTAATTCTAACATATCTAATTAATGTTAGTTCAAAGTGTAACTGTATAGTTTTTATTTTGAATTTAGTAGCGATATATTAGACGCCCGGTGGCTGTGCGGTAGCGCTTCGCGCTGTTGTGCAACAGGTCCCTGGTTCGATCCACGGGCCGGGCAAGGTTGACTCAGCCTTTCATCTTTTCAGTGGATCGATAAACGAGTACCAAGCATGCTTGGGAACTAAACACTGGCATCAGGGGTGAAAGCGAGACGGAAAAAGATGAAAGGCTGGTAGTAAAACCATTTCAGTTATAGCTAGATTTTAAGGAAGAGTTTACTTATTATTTTTTAAATTTTTCAACAATATCTACTTTATCTTGGAAAAGAAGCAGTTTTATATATATGCCAGAATTATAAAAGAAATCTTGATAGTTACAGATATTTCATTTTTTTCGAAAAAAATGCTGGAATGAAATGTTTTACGTACCAGGTTTTTCCCTTTTCCGTCTTGCTATATAAGGGCTTTCACCCATGCCCTGAGAATGCATATATGATTCGCCCGTCTCGAGGAGGTTAAAATGCAGGATTATTCAAAAAGATGGACCCACTTTAGTTAGTTTGATATAAATTAGACATGAACTGTCAACATAGTGAAGACACGAGGGAAATCCAAAGTTTTTGCGTTTCGCCTCTCAGGCGGATGAACTAGCCCTGACATTAGTCAATCACCTGTCGGATAACTAGTTCTCACTGTGAAAATCACCAGTCGTCAACAAAAAAGTGGTCACTTAAATAAAATAAACAACCAGTCGTTTTTTCCGTTTCTTTCGTTTGGGTTCGTATCCCACCCTCGGCTTCGCACCGACCACAGCACTGATGCATACTTGTCAACTTTTAATCCTTTCGTGGATGATTTTCCCCATAGGAAGTAAAATGGAATTTAAATTACAATTTTAGGCAGAAACATATGCTATATTTTGAGGAAGCTTATGCGAACAATTAATTCTCATACTCATACATGGTGGTTATCTTAGCATCAGCCCCGTGAGGAGCTCTAACTAGTTCATCTGAGTGGGAATAAATAATAAATTGCTGAATCGCAATTAAATGGTGATAATAAATAATTATTACATATTAATATATATGCTAAATTTTTTAAAAAATAGTGGTGGATCAAAAAGATTATGGAAAACGAAATTTTCATTAAATTGTCCATTGTCTCCATTCAAAATTTAAATCCTTCAGAATCCATCAATTTGTGATGGAAAGATTCATATAGAAGAAGAATTCCTTAACAATTCACATAATTCATAGTTATATAAACATTAAATGTATTTTGCCTCTTTAAATATTAATTATTTCTAAATAAATTTCTTTAAAGTTAGTATATTTAACTAAATATTATCATATATTTATATTCTTTTTATTGTTGAATTAACTTTTTATAGCCATAAATTTTTCCTTATACGATATTTTTTCTTCAAAAAATGTAATTTAATCTGAGCAACAAAAAAAAGTTTATAAAAAAGAGACTTATCGAAATCGGTCACTGATTCATTAGATTAAAGCATAAAGTGGCTACTAAATATTTGAATTTATTGGCTACTGGCTACTAACTGAAAATTTAAATTTTCAGGTCTAGGTACTAGTTGCGTATAAGGCACTGTAGTTCACTCAGAAGCACAGGGCATGCTATTTGGCATATTTGGCGAGTTAATGACGCTATCGATTACATGTTTGTGGATTAGCACATTGAACATGCATAACCTGCTTGAAAAAATCTTTTAAACTAATTCTTTTCATTTGTGCTTGGACTGTTCATGTCCAAATTAATAGTTTATTGAATACAAATTAATTAAATTGGGTCCATCTTTTTGAATAACTATGTATTTTTTGAAGTAAATGAAATGAGATTCGTACCTCAAGCGCAACTTTAGCCACTAAGCCGTACTTTCGGACACACCCGCAAGCTATCTCCGGGACACAGCGTTATGGACGAGGAAGCTTGATTCTCAGTTACATGGTTCACATTTTATATTAGAGAGATTTTGCAAAGCGCAACAGTTCTAACGTTAACTTCAACTTTAACTGACGCTTACGTTAACGCTATTAAGCGGAGCATCAGCGAAAATTTCTTAACAAATTGCAATGTCGCTAAGGGATATAAAATAAAGTTAATACCCCTTAGTTTGAGTTACGATTATTGTAACACAAACTGTATGTAAAATCTCACAATTTTTAACCATTTTTATGATTTATTATGATTAAATAAAAAGGACTGATGATTTGGTCAGTAATTAACTGACTTAACTTTGACCAGTAATTAACTGAGAATGTAAAATTTGATAATAACAATTTCATATACATTTCATCTCTCTCTCTCTCTTTATCTCTCTTACGCACAAAATAAATAAATAAAAAATTTACAAAAAAATCCTCGAGTTAAAAAAAAAGAATTTTTTTTTATTTTTACTATTTTTTATATTATGATTGCAGTTCGAAATGGCTCGTTGCTCTCACGATATCTATCTGTGATGAGTGGTATTCTTATTTCAGCAAACATTTTAGTTTTTTAAATTTTACAATCGGTTTATTTAAATAAACAGCATGTAATAATCACTAGAAAACATCAAAATAGCTGGATGATTAAATGCATCTTGCTACCGCTTAATATTTTTTTTTACACAAACTGAGGGAAATAATTTACGAAGTGTTAGTTTCAGAACTCTATACTCAATCGCATAATCAGTACTTCGCATGTCACAGCATTTATATGAGTGCAGCGTGTCAAATTATTTGTAATACGATTCACTCATAAAAATCATATAATTCACATACATTCAATTCTTTTTTAATACTGGACGTGCAGTTGTGATTACCTGTGTCCCATTTCATGAGCAGCTACAAGAACGGTTTGGAAACTTGTACCTTCACTTATTGTACAGCTGTTCAATGGATTGCACATTCCGCTTACAGGAGCTAATCCTGTAAAAGAAAAGCATTTATTTAACACTAAACAAACTGGTCAAATGACCGTTTAGGGACTTTTGCATCGAAAATGCGGCTATCATCTTATCTTTTTTTGCACCTTTGACTTCATGACTTTTTCTAACAATTATATACAGTAAATATTCTATTATTATTTTTTTGTGTATTTTGTTTGTTTCGAATAATACTTGACGTATACCTGTTTCTACTACAACCTGTCATTTGACCGAGAGTTACAATTCGCTTATGGGCTGCAATAGCATACCTGCCAACTTTTACGCATTTGGCGTAAAATTTAATTTTTATATTTAAAGTGGTAGTAAATATATACTATTTTTTCTTTTATAAACTAAATTTTTAAATGATTTTCATCACCACTATTCTTAAGAAAACTAAGCATATATATTAATATGTGTTACCATTATGGTAGGCAGCTTAAGCTTTTTCAAATACAACGTAATTTTTGCTTAAAATTGAAATTTTTATTCCATTTTAATTCCACTGGGAAAAATCATAACGGAGGGGATTAAAAGTTGGCAGGTATGCAATAGTGGTACAACTCAAAAAACACGATTTTTGGACATAGAACAGGTGTAACTATGAAAATACCATACCTGCCAACTTTTAATCACTTCCATTATCATTGTTCCCAGTGGTATTAAAACTTCAATTTTAAGCAAACAAATACGTTGTATTTGAGAAAACTTAAGTTGACAACCATGATAGTAACGCATATTAATATCCGTGCTTAATTTTTGTAAGAACAGTGGTAATCAATATCATTTAAAAATTAAGATTATAAAAGAAAAAATAGTATCTAGTTACTACCACTTTAAATATGAAAATAAAATATTCCGGAAAATCCGGAAGCGTTAGCAAGTATGAAATACCCTTCTTTTCACATCAAATATGAAAATACCCATACTCATACCTGCCTACTCTTCCGGATTTTCCGGAAGATTTTATTTTCATATTTAAAGTGGTAGCAATACTCAGGTTATTCCAATTATCTTCTTGAATTATAATGATAATTATAAATGAGTTTGACCAATTATTTATATGTAGTGACATATAAATAATTACAATAAATATATGAAAGCATAATAATCCTTGCGCAAGTGAATTTCAACGGGATCAAAATATAAATATATTTTTGAGTCAAATTGTTTTTCGTTTATTGTTTGCAACCACTCTGAAAATCCATTTTCGGAAAAAGTGAAAGTTGGCAGGTATGCATACCCATTCACAACTCATAATTCAACTTAAAGGTAACCCTCGTTTAAGAAAACGAAAGCATTTCTTATGCACTTTCCTTAGCAATGAAAACTTTAAACTCACTTATCTCAAAACATGATTTTTTGAGTTGTGCCGCTATTGCAGCCCACGAGCGAATTTATTGCTTTATAAGGTAATCCGATCAGAAATTACGATATAATGCGTGTTCAACGTATTGCATTCGATTAGTTGCACATTTCTGCAAAGACTGTTGAGTAGTTAGTTCAATCAGAATAACTGTGAATTCAGATTTAGTACCTAAAGTTTCAGATCGGCATTTTTGTGAAAGAAAAAGCGACAAAAATTAATTGTTTTGGTAAGTAGCTTATACTTTATTTTGATAGCTTTACTTCATTTCTAACTAAATGTTAGTTTTTTCCGAGAAAAGGTCGAAACAATCAAGACAGCTCAAGTTCTTAGAAGAAATAATATTAATTATAAGAATAATTATAAGAATTATAGAAAGAATAATAATTAGACGAAATATTTTTGCGGAAAATGTACAACGGAAACAACCTGTATATGTATAAAAGCGGCGAGCAATGAATTAAAAATTCTTATTCTTTGTGTTCGTAATGCATAAAAATTGGTAATATACAATTTTATTTAATTATAATAAAGTTTTTTTTAAGTTTATTTCCCTCCTAACATCCATATTTCATACATTCAATCAAGAAACATTAAGTCCGGTGATTTGACCGGCTATTGTAGAAATAGGTATACATTGAGTGTTGGTATATTTAGTGTTAAGGAAATCTATATATCTTTACCTCAGCCGTAGTTCAATTCAACATCTCAAAAATTGGACCCTCTTTAGAGATAAAACCAGTTTTTCATTCTTACAAAAAGTAAAGCTCATTTCCCAGCAGCATGAGGTTCACTTTCAACGGATCCCGTCCCACGTCGATATCCACGAAAACGAGTTGGTTGACACTCTTGCAAAGAAGGGACTAGACCATCCAGTCCCCTCCACCTCAGAGCTTAAATACCTTGAACTTTTCGCAAAGCAAAAGGCCCAGAACAAACAAAAGTGGCTACTTCCACCTACTCACTACTGGTATAAAGCAAAACGACCAGGACTCTCTCTATCTCTTCCTGGTGACAGGCAAACCAACACCTGCTTATCCCGACTGGCCAGTGGACTCCTGAAAAGTCTCACATTTTCTGCTAATCAAAAGATCTTTCCTCTTTGGCCTAAATGCCAACAAAACCAGGCATCACCTGAGCACATCTTGTACTGTTTAGGGCTGGACTGGAACGACATTCATTCCTCTCCCCTTTTAGTTTCGGACTTCCTAAATGTCAACGGATTTATTGATCTGGTCAGACTCCGCCAGACCAGATGGGAATTAGCAACAACAACAATATATCTTTGCCTAGATATCTATATGTTCCTACGGACCTGAAGTCTTTTTAATACTGGTAGTAAATTTAAGTAAATATTCGTACTAATTTACTTTACTATGAACTTCGGATATCTTGCGCATTACAATGCGGAACTTTTCTAACAAGAGCAAATTTATTAGAAAAACAACATAAAAACGTGGTAATGAGTGTTATGGATGAGTCAGGCGCTAACAAGAGTTTATCGAACTAATCGCTCGGATCAATCGAGCGATTTCTTATAATTTTTGATTATAAATGAGGAAAAAACTACAATAATCCGTAGCAACTTGAAACACAAATAACATTCAAATAAATAATTTTAGTGGTAACCAACATTTTTTTTAAAAATAGAATTTATTTAATTGTTATTGATATATTGTTATTGAAAAACCACACAATTGCGAGACAAACAAAATATAATTAACGAGTTGAGGGTTAACCTCAACTCGTTAATTATATTTTGTTTGAGACTATGATTGAAGTGAGTTCAGCTGAAATGACGGAACAACAAAAGGTTTTTTCTTTCAAATGGTCTCAACAAATTCGAATTTGAACTATTTTAACTGTCTTCAATATAAGAAAAATCTTCAACCTACTCATTCAATCTTGTGAATTCAGTTTGTGAACAACGTTGCACTTAGTCTTTCATATTTGTTCTCAGTAATTTAAAAGACATTTTGAAACACATACGGAGCGATAATAAATTTTTAAAATATAATATCACAAAAATTGAAAAGGAACTCGGGTACATTTATCGAGAGCCACAAATAATCCATCAAAGAGCTGCATGTGGCTCGCGAGCCGCAGGTTGGCCACCTCTGTTCTATGAAGTATTTTTCAAAAAGCGTAGTACTTGGCAGCAGGGCTCGAAAAACTGCCCGTTCGCCCGTCCTCGGCGGTCAAAAATTCCCCTCGGACAACAAATTTCTCGAATTCAGCGTCCGCGCGGACGACCATTTTCCCGTTAATGTTCGTGATACATTTTCAATATTTGTTATCTTACAAGAGTCTAGCGCCTCACTTCTAAAATGACCCTCTAATCTCGAAATACAGCAACATGGTGGAATTGATGTTTTCTCTGTCTGGGAGTACTGCAGCGGTTGAAAGGGGCTTTTCAGCAATGAACTTACAAAAAAACACATTACTTACTGGTCTTAAACGGGAAGCATTAAACGCATTTATGAACATCTACCTAAATGGAAAACCTCTTTCAGATTCCTGAGCAGAAACCTCTGTAAATCATTGGCTTGATTGTGGAACTGGCAAACGTCATATTTGATTCATTTAAAAAACGCAGTACCCTCGGATAAATTGACATTCCAGATAACTTGACCTTTGTCATTTAAATTATTTCATAAAAGAAATACTAGGTTACTATTAGTAACCTAGTATTTCTTTTATTACTGTATAATGTAATCCTAGTAACTACTAATTCATTGTGCAATTTATATAAATGTTTGTAATAAATAAGAGAAAATTATATTTTTATTTATTTAGAAGCGACGGGTTAGTTTCAAAGGAGGACGGGTACATTGTTGGACAAGCAGTCCTCGGGGACGGGTAAAATTTCTGAGTTCTTTCGAGCCCTGCTTGGCAGTAAAACATCATAATTGCTACCCCTTGAAAGTAATTACTTAGCTGTTCAAAAAGGGTTAAATATTTGAACGTCTCTTATTTCAGAGATGCCAACTGCTACGTACACGACGAAATGATGCAAATAGTTGACAAATTTTGTTAGGTTTTTGTGATTTAGTTTGAATTAGTTAAGCGAAATTAATAAGCCTTCGAATTATTTAGAAATAGTGGTATTTAAAAACATAATAAATTTAATTTATTAAACCAAGAATTACAGTTCGTAAACTATCACTTGAAAATATTTATTTGCTGTCCGGAGCAAGTTATCATCTCTGTTAATTTTAATAACTGGTTTCAAATTTGTAATTAAGAATTGGCGATGTGGCTCTTTTTATCTCGACGATTTTTGATTTTACTTTTCAAGAAAGCTTAGGAAATCTTGCTATTAATGAGAGTTATCTCTGTTTTGGGGTAAAACCCTTCAACAGCTTTATTTGAGATAGTAAGCTCTATAATAAAAATTGAAGAAATGGCAGAAAATGTTTTATTAATCATAATGCTCAGCTTACATATTTGTCTCTCACTTCACGAAAAAAAAATGAAACTACAAAAGGAGAATATCAAGCTTAATTTTTTAACAAAAAACATTTAGAAAGTACTAGAACCTGATCAAAAAGTTAAAAAATTCTTTGTCACCACCAAAGTTTGCCAAAATGTAATAATACTGAACAAGCAGACTGCAGAGGTGTTGGATAAAAGTATGAAAGCATTTATATGATAAATCAATGCAGGCATGCAAACTACTTCGCTTTTTGCGAAAAATTTTAAAGCGTGGTAGACATTTAAAATTAAAGCTTTCAGAATTTTTGGTAATTTTGCCAACACTTTAAAAAGCTCGTCCATAAAAAACTTAGGTTAAAATGGCGTTGCAAATGAACTTTTAAATAATTTATTTGAAGTGGTGTGGGAAGTAAGTTTAAATGAATAAAGAATAATATATTAAAACGTAAATATAGCTGCCACTAATTTTTTACAAAAAGCGTAGAAAGCTGGACGCCCTGTGTCTACGTAAACAATTGCTCTCTTAGCAGCAAATGTTTTGACAGATTTTACATGGCTAAGCCGTTGGCACGATTTAAAAGATCATGCTTGAAGCTTTTACAAATAGTGTCCTTTTAAATCATTTAAAATTTGCATCTACCAAAATGAGTATTAGGAACTAAAAGTTCATTTTCATTTTCATAATTCTGAAAGCATTCTAATTAAAATATTGCAATCATATTGATGTATTCCAAAATTGGCGGTATTAAAGCTCGAAATAATTTCTTCAATTTTTAACGCTTATGTTGGTATATTTGAGCTTTGCATGGTTAAAAATGACATAATTTTTAATGCATTCTTCAAGCACGGTCTTTCAAATTGCGCCAACAGTTTTGACGTGTAAAATCTTCTAAAACGTTTGATTCTAAAAAAAATATTGTTTACATAGAATTTGCATTGAAGTGTTTCCATATTTTTGCCCCTTTAATTCCTTCTTAATAAATCAATTGTATACTTACCAACAACGTGTCTTTTTCTTCGTCCGCTTTCATCTACAACATACATGTTGATTCTAAAAGAAAAGCAACATCAGATTAAGAGTTAATCAAAAGTACATTTTCAATGTATGAAGGAGAAGTACACACTCCTTTTAAGTGCTTTGGGGAAATATACATACGCGCTTGCTTCTGAGATGATAAATTGGATGATCCTCTTGACAGAAAAGGGTTAAAATCATTGTATTTGTTATAACTATGTATCTGTTATGTGCAGTTAATTTGAAACGTTACTGCCAGACCACAAATTTGGCCAAGATGTATAAATGCCTTATGGAAGATTCGAAAGTAGCACATAAGTATATTTGTTAAAAACCATTGGATATCTGCAACTTTCGGCTTGAAAAGACAGTATTCCTTTATTGAAATAACACACATTTACAGGCTTGTGTGCTCAAATTAGGCTTATAAACCTTTGTCAAGTAGAAGGACAGGTAGAACAATTCAGAGAATGACATCACGAAGAATACATCCAGAGTTACGGAGGGATTCGAACCCGCCACCTCCATGCCTCACTTAGCGGCTGGCGAGCAATGCCGCTCGGCCAGGGAGGGCCCGACATTATTCCTAGTCCTAGTGTTTAGATTTTATTGGGCACCTGGGCCGCGAAGCGGCCCCTATCCCATTCATCTGGAATTTTTGAACAGTTTTGGTTGAGCAATGAGGTAAGCAGGCAATGGAGTTGCTTTTATGAATGTTTCAAGCTCTTTGCTTGAATAACTAAAAAGGAATCAAAAATCAGCTTACTCTAAACTGTGTTTGTTTAATTTTGGAGTTGTTCAGAATTGTATCAGCATGAGGAAACGTTATTTTCAGAAAGGTTGATGAAATTATTTGTTTTGATAGTAAAGATATGAGGCGTCGGAGGTGAAATGTGCAGCTATTGGTCTGTAGTTTTTATCTTTGATATAATTTTCAAATTTAAAGATTTCATTAAAATTTGCTTGCTTAAGGCCTTAAT